TGATCGTACCATCGTGATGGCAAACAAAGTGGAGGAAACGCAAGTGAAGGACATAAATGCAGCGCCGTTCTTTTCTCTGGCTTTGGATGAGTCAACAGACGTGAGCCATTTGTCGCAGTTCAGCGTGATTGCAAGATATGCTGTTGGTGACACACTGCGCGAAGAAAGTCTTGCTGTTCTGCCATTAAAAGGGTCCACAAGAGGTGAGGATTTATTCAAGTCTTTCATGGAGTTTGCTCAAGAAAAAAGTCTACCTATGGATAAACTTCTCTCAGTGTGTACTGATGGTGCTCCGTGTATGGTGGGGAAAAACAAAGGATTTGTGGCGCTTCTCCGTGAACATGAAAATAGACCCATCCTAAGTTTCCATTGCATTATACACCAGGAGGCACTTTGTGCTCAGATGTGTGACAGGCAGTTTGGCGAAGTGATGTCGCTGGTCATTCGTGTGATCAACTTTATTGTTGCCCGAGCCTTAAATGATCGCCAGTTTAAAACACTGCTGGATGAAGTTGTAAATAACTATCCTGGTCTGCTTTTGCACAGCAATGTGCGTTGGTTGTCAAGAGGGAAGGTGCTTAGCCGTTTTGCGGCTTGCCTGAACGAAATCCGGACTTTCCTTGAAATGAAAGGCGTCGGGCATCCTGAGCTAGCCGACACCGAGTGGCTCCTCAAGTTTTACTATCTCGTAGATCTGACTGAACATCTGAACCAGCTCAACGTGAAAATGCAAGGCATTGGAAATACAGTGTTATCCCTTCAACAAGCTGTATTTGCTTTTGAAAACAAGCTGGAGCTTTTCATCACGGATCTTGAAACAGGTCGTTTACTACATTTTGAAAAACTGAGCCAATTTAAAGATGCATGCACAGCAAGTGAGCCCATTCAAAACCTTGATCTCCACCAGCTAGCTGGCTGCACATCCAGTCTCCTACAGTCCTTCAAAGCACGCTTTGGAGAATTTCGTGAGCACACTCGTCTTTTTAAGTTCATCACCCATCCAAACGAGTGTTCACTGAACACAGCCGACCTGAATTACATCCCTGGTGTCTCCGTCAGAGATTTTGAAGCAGAAGTGGCTGACCTGAAGGCCTCAGACATGTGGGTGAATAAGTTCAAGTCACTGAATGAAGATTTGGAAAGAATCACACGACAGAAAGCGGAGTTGGCGAGCAAGCACATGTGGACAGAAATGAAAAAACTCCAACCCGAAGACCAGCTGATTCTCAAAACTTGGAACGCGCTTCCTGTCACATACCACACACTGCAGCGTGTGAGTATTGCTGTATTGACCATGTTTGGATCTACGTATGCATGTGAGCAGTCATTCTCACATCTTAAAAACATCAAGTCCAACCTACGATCACGTTTAACGGATGAAAGCCTCAACGCTTGCATGAAGCTTAACCTCACCAAGTACCAACCCGACTACAAAGACATCAGCAAATCCATGCAGCACCAGAAGTCGCATTAATGGTGAGTGTTATAACAACATTATTTAAAAGAATACATTCAGAGGCTTATTATACTCACATTTAGTTGAATTCACTTTTAAAATATATTATATGGCTCTCACTGAAATAAATTTCCAAATTTTTTGCTTTCATGGCTCTCTTAGTCAAAAAGGTTCCCGACCCCTGCCCTAGTGCCACCATTTACGTCACTATGTATACATAGTCTGATGTATCTGGTAAGCTTTCCGGCTTCGTTGGCTTTCCATCTTCCCTAAACGGTACCCACACCATTACATGGACTGTCATGTGCAACAAATACAATTCGCCACTAAGTGGCGGTGATGTCACCACGGCGCCTGTGCCAGGCTATGTACACGTTGAGGCCACGTGAAGTGTCGAACGCCCACTGGCAGGAGGTCATGGGGTAGACCTAGGTGCCACGGGTTGACTGTGATGACTGGCCGATGCACCACCTGTGCCCCTTACTGTGCCAACTTGCTGTGCTTTAGCCAACCGGCGCTCCGCTCGTTGTTGTGAGGGTCGCTCCTCCGCCCTCCGTTGTTGTTGGAGGGCGACTGCCTCCAACTGCCCAGTAGTGTCCTTCACGAGCCTCCTCCACAGAGGCCGATCTTGACACTGCTGGTACCAGTCATCGGCAAGTCCACTCAGCTCCACGTCCTCCTGTACCACATCACTCCATCTCTTCTCTAGCCCACACCACGCCCGTTTAGCCCCCTCTATCCGGCCGAACAAAAGCTGCTTAGGCATGTGGTGGCTGGGCATGCGGGCTACATGACCCAGCCAACACAGCCTTGCCTGCCGGAGGAGCTCACCGATGGGACTTTGTCCAGATCTTTTAAGGATTTGTGAGCTCCTCGCACAATCTAGCCTGGTTGAACCCAGGATGGATCATAGGCAGGCCAGCCTAAATGTTTCTAACCGGTAAAGGTGTTCCATTAGGGGCGTGCACGTGTGCAACTCCAAAGCCCCATAACATCCTTGCCCACATCTGATTTTTGGAAATGTTTACCCTGTACATCTGTAGTGACGTAAATGGTGTCACTAGGGTGTTCGTGCCAGCTGCAGTTACAGGAGTACACCTGTGCGTCTGGAGCCTCTCTCTAGCACCAGAGTGGGTATGGCATGTCAGCCAGCCCTAGGGGGCGTGGTCCTCGTGGTGGCCTGAGTGAACCCGGGAGGGCGCGTGATGCTTGGCCGAGATCCTACGGGAAAGGTCTCAAAGGGGGTGTGGCCGAAGGCGGAGCATGGCCACACTCAGAAGCATAAAGTGGCATTCCCGAGAGAGAGCTTGGCTCGTCTGTGGAACCAAGCCTGGGTCCCGCGTCTCGTGGTCTCTGGATCTTTGTCTAGAGTTAATTCGCTATTCACATAGTTAACCAAATCACCTACTATAGAACCTGAGCTATGCTCAGTGTTACCTGCTAGGGAAGTTGTTAAATAAAAGTGTTGCCTCCCAGTCCAGAGTGTGTGCCTCTGTGTTGGTGAACAACACTACATTTGGTGTCAGAAGTAAAACAACATGTTAACAAGACAACAACTTACCAAGACATCTTTGATAGAGGAGGACGGCGAGGAGAGATTCTCCAAATGGCCCCGGGGGTTTGCAGCCTGGTTACCCACTGCATGGTGGCTTACAGCGGGTGAGAAGCTGCTTCTCCACGGCGCCGCCACCGCGGTGAGAGCGCCGCGCAGCTCAACGCCGCCCCGCAATTTTTTTGTTCTTTTTCGTGGCAGCTGCACTGCTCACCGAGCTCCGTCCTGGAGAAGCCAGTCAAACAAGTCAATGTGCCGGGGCCGCGGGGCGATGGCTCCGTGGGGGAAATCCAAGAAACGCGGCCCGAGCAGCCGCCATTCGTGGCCGGGCGGGACAGGATTCCCGCCAAAATTGCGCTTCCCGCCAAAATCGACGAATGTGGCCTGCCGGCTCAAGTCGCAAGAGGATGCTGCGCTGAATACAGCAAGACTCTCCGCCACGCCGTCGTCTTCCACCCTGCCGTCTTCCACTCCTCTGGGTCCACAGACCAGTCGTGACACATCCCACACCCGGCCCTTGCAAACACGTCAGGCATCGTTTTCGTGCACCGGGTCGGATTTGTGTATTGTTACTCGTCGTCGGAGTGCGGAGTATGAGGATCGGGTTGATTTTGATGAAGTATGGCCGCAGCGTCCGTGCAAGTAGTCCGCTTTGTAAAATCGTTTTTTGTTGTTGTTGTGCACTTTCGGGATCGCCGATTCTTTGCTTATTGTGGATGGTGCATTGATCAGAAGCGTCTATATTTTGTGAGGTCTTTATGTTGCACTGATCGGGATTGTCGATAGTTGTACGGACTGCATGGTGCTTTCCTCGACATTGTTGACGATGTCTGGACTGTATGCAGTATTGCTCGAAATGGTTGACGATGTGCGGACTGCATATACTGCGTTGCTCGATATCGTCGATTATTGGGGCCATTGTGTATGGTGCTTTGCTGTTGAGTTCGTGTGCCCTGAGCCCCGGGAAAGTCCTGTGTTTGATGTTGTGGGGGATTTTGGAACGGCAGATTCGGTGTGGTTCGAACTCACTGGTTGTCCTGTCTGTTATTGGACCGATTTCTATATTTTTCTTGTGTGAGAATGCCCCTTATGTTCCTAATGGATCGAGGGTGCGTTGGGCTGTAAATTGCCGCCAAATATCGTTGCTCTCTCCACTCGATTGTGTACAGCCGAATGCTGCAATGCGAGTCTTGGAGAGAGTGATCGATGTGTCCTCTCTGCTCGATTGTGTACAGCTGGACGCTGCAATGCGAGCCTGGTGAGAGAGATGGTTTAAAAAAAATTCCCCCAATGCGGCCGACGTGTGCAACTGTTAAATTGTGACGCCACGGCCAAGATCCTAAGGGGAAAGGTCTCGAAGGAGTGACCGAAGGCGGAGCGAGACCACACTCAGGTTCATAAAGGGGCATTCCCGTGAGAGAGCTTGGCACGTCTGTGGAATCGAGCCTGTATGAGTGAAAAGTTTTAACTGCTATGATTTTCACTCACCCACCCATGTTTCTTGTTGTCCGATTACTAATTCAAGTCCATTTACTTGCTAATTTCTCCAGCCCCACCCGTCCATGCACACCACAATCCCTCCCCCCTCTCCCCTGTGAACTCCTACAGCCAAACTCCTCCCCCCGCTTCCCGTGCCTATATAAAGCCACAACAGCAGATAATTTTTCTCACCTGAAGACGGATGCTTGTGTTGCGACCGAAACATCGTGTTTTCTTTCATTATTGTTTCTATCTACGTGACTTTACCGAAAGAACCAGAGAGTATGGATCCCTGCAGTCACGAAAGCTTCAAATCAATATAACATAACTGTCAAGTTAATCCCACCTTACCTTCTCTCCTCACTGGGTTCAGTACCTACTTAAGCCTATCACAGTGGTGGAATATTTCATTCGCTTTGAAATATTTACCTTATTAAGTACACTTCTGGTGTGGCCCTGCTTACTGAAGCGTACAGTTATATTCCCTCTGTGTGTGTCTGTTTTGGACCGCAGATCTGGACCATGTTTTTCGGTGGCCGCTACATCATCCTGCTGATGGGAATTTTCTCCATGTACACCGGCCTCATCTACAATGACTGCTTCTCCAAGTCCATAAACATCTTCGGCTCCAGCTGGAGTGTCAACGCCATGTTCAACGCAAGTCAATGGACGTGAGCGATTAGCTTTACACAGCACGAGTAGCATTCGCATGTTTGTCAAATCCAACTTGATATGCTTTATAATTAGCAACTGCACAATATGCTCCACCAGTGAGATCAGAGGTTTAGTCGCAGCCTCCTCTTGTGTTAAATGCCTCCCATGCGAACTTAAGACACTCCCTCTGCAGACCATGCTTCCTTCATAATATAAAGGGCATCCCCTCCTACTGTGGGATCAAATCTCATGGACCTCATGCCCCAACCCCTGTATTATATATGTAACTTCTTATACCACTTATTTGCACCCACCAGATGTAGTAGTGCATTGCGATAAATCAATATGCGTGGACACCTATCATGCAGCAGCAGTGAGTTGGCCAGTAGTTGGCTTTAGAGCAAGTCGGTTTTTGGCCCATCTGTATTGAGTGTGTTGTTCTTTCATATGTATGGATTGTATCCAATTCTTATGAGACGGGATTTTTTCACCTCTTTGAAATACTCAGAATACTCTAAAGGGCATTGGGCCCAACGTCCAAGATCGGTTATTTTTCCAAAGGAATCTTGAGATCAATTTAAAGCTTTCCTGCATAAATAAAGGATGTTTTTATTATTAAAAACTATCCAGATTTGAACTCATGGCCAAATTCAATCACTGGGAATGGAGTTATCAAAACAAAGTGACTTACTTATGTAGTCTGCTTCATGTGATCTGCCTTGACTGTATTCCAATCCAGAAAAGAAGATTTGGAAGCACACCAAGTGCTGCAGATGAACCCAGTTGTGCCAGGAGTCTTCAACGGACCCTACCCTTTCGGCATCGATCCGGTGGGTTTGGTCACGTGTGGAAAATGGATAAACCCTAAGTGGCATATGGTCAACTCCATAGCGATAATATTAATATGTGTATGCATGTATGTATACCACAGCAGCCTTTTGTGAAATAATAATGGAGGGGGATTCCATTTATAACACACCATCCCTATTTTTATTAACACATCTCCCCAAAATTGGAAAGACTGCCTTGGCAGTCTTTCCAATTTTTTTCTGAAACTGTAAATATATGGAGGCAGTAACTGCATGGTGTGTAAAGTGTGCTCTAAACTAAGAGTCGACAAGGCATGAAATGCTAGACTATGTCATACAATTAAATGTATAACCCCTTCATGTTTATACACTAATATTAAAGAAAGTGACAATTAAAAATTATTTAAAATAATACGTTCCCAGATATGCTGTTCAGAAAACCCCCTTATGATCTTTTAAGCAATCGTTATGTTAACTTTGATGTTTTTGTCAACTTCAAATGTGCAAATACGAATGCAGTGTGCTATAGTACATATCCTTATCCCTATGATTTACAATATCAATTATTGTCTTTTCTCATTGCAGTTAATGTCAGAGTCAATTTCCAGTAAATGAATAAATAATTCAATTCCCTTAATTTTGTCTGATGCATTTTGTGCAACTTGTCACTAGGCATCTCGCTAGCCTGTCTCTGCTTCCTAAACGACTTCTCATTATTAGCTACAAATGTGCACACATGGCAGGGAATGGCATAGTGCGGATGCAATCTCCTGTGAAATTGATATATCGGGGATCATTGACAACCGCATCCAATTTAACGGCACTGTGTATAATGTATCAAATTGCATCTTAAGACCTGCATAATCAAGAGCCATGCTTGGCACATCGATCTGAGACTACCTATATGAAGTCATATATTGCGGTGTCTTTCTCTGCATTCAGATTTGGAACTTGGCTGCCAACAAGCTCAATTTCCTTAACCCGTACAAAATGAAGATGTCGGTGATCGTGGGCATCACCCACATGGTCTCAGGGATAATCCTCAGCCTCTTCAATCACATGTGAGTCCCTTCTTTCGAGTCCTGGATTTGTTAAAATCAGTGTCCACCCACAGAACCGGGCATGGTGGCACATGCCTGTGATCCAGCATTTTGGAGGCAGGTGTTGGTGGATCACAAAAAATTGTGAAACTTCCAAACTTACTGGCTTGTGAGGTGGCCAGGTGATGCCAGTACAGCCTATAGGCGTGGGTTTTTTTCTCCAGGTACTCTAAAATTACCTTTTACACATGCGTTCATCATTCAAATAGAGGTGACTCCTGAAAAAGTCTTGATATTCAGTGAGGATGTCCTAGAAATATAAACTACATTATTATTAAGTATGTATTGTGTTATCTTGTTGTGCTGAAGCTATGCTGAAAGTATATTCCCGCTGCCATCACATGAAATGATGTTAGGTTTAACTTACTACATGTAGCATATTTTAGTTTTAGGCCAGGTTTGTCGACGGCATTGGTGGTGGATTGTTTTCTGCCTATCCTTATATGCTGTTGTCAATGCAGTCCCTTAAGCCCTTTGTTATTTTTCTTTATGAAATTAATGTCGCGTGAAATGTGTGTCGGTTGATCTTATGTTGCAGATATTTCCAGAAGCCATGGAACATCATATGTGACTTTGTTCCTGAAATGATTTTCATTCTCGCGCTGCTTGGATACCTGGTGGTGCTAATCTTTTTCAAATGGATTGCGTACCAGGCTAAAGAATCCCAACATGCACCCAGCATCCTCATCAACTTCATCAACATGTTCCTCTTCACCTATGACGAGAAGTTTGTGCCAATGTATAATGGACAGGTAAACTATGCAGATCATTGGTGTTCCTGATCAATTGGTAAACTGTGAAAACATTTGTGAAATTGTTCAATCATAGTTTCATAGTTTCATTTATTTGGTATAGCCCTGTGAGCCATTCGGCTCTTGAATCGGGTGCAACCGCAACAAACAAAAAAACTAAAACATGAACAAGAAAACATCTTAAAGTGACTTTGTGCATGTGCAAACAGAAAATCCACGAAAAAACATCAAAATATTCCTGAAATAGCACCGTACACCAACGCTGTGTGCAAAAATGCCAGTGGGATGCAAGTCAAACAACAACAAGAAAACTTAGATTAAGGCCATCAGTCTAACTCCGTACTACAATAAACAAAAACATGGCCAAACCAAACAACTTTTAGAAATCACCAAAATAAAGCCATACATGCAATGTAACAGTGATCATAGGAACTGTGACCGAATTTTTTACAATAAACTACATAAATAACATGTAACACCAAACCCTAGAGCCACAGCTGGCTGCATGAGTCACTCCACAAACAACAGGAGCATCAGTCAGAGTATCACATTTTTCAATGCACCTTTAAGATCAGCACACTAAATCAAAATACAGATAATACTTTGCAGCGGTCATCCGGAGCGAAACATTTTATTTTATTTTAAGCCACTGAATAGCAGTGGCAGCTAGGGGTGTACAACTCCTCTCGAGCAGTTTTGAGTGAAGATCTCATAGGTAGTGATTCAAGTTGCAGTTTATTGGCAATAGCATTCCAGACCCTGGGGGCATCAATAGCAAAGGCCCTTCCTCCGGTTTTTGTACGGCAATAGGGAATGTGAAGCTGGTAGATGAGCGAAGACCTGAGGTCAAATGTGTTCTTTGAAACAGAGAGGAGATCCAGCAGGTAGTCTGCGGATTTTTTTGTAAGTACATCGTGAATAAATAAGATCTGGTGCACAAGCCGTCGAATATTAAGAGATGTTAAGTTTGACCCAATGTAGAGATCACAGTGGTGAGTCCTATGTGGGCAGTTCAATGCAAATCTTAAGGCCGAGTGATAGATGGAATCAAGCTTCTTCAGTACAGTACTTGGGGCTGATTTATATACGATATCACAGTAATCAAGTAGAGGCAGTATGGTAGCTTTTATCAATTCCAAACGGAACATAGGGGGGAAGCAGTGCTTGTGTCGATACAGAAAACCAATTTTTATTTTTGTCTTTTTACCAATATAATCAATGTGATCTTCAAAATTCAGTTTTTAATCCAGGATGACCCCTAGATACTTATAGAACTTGACTTGCTCTATTTGATCATTATTTAAGGAATGTAATTTGGGAAAAAATAACTTCCTGCTTTAGTCCCGGTGAGAAGCATAGCACCTTGGTTTTGGAGGTATTTAGGACTAGTTTAAGAGCAACTAGCTGATGTTGTAGTTTGTTGAAATCACCTTGGAGCTTAGCAATCACGTCATCCGGAGAGCGGCCAGCAGTAATCAGTATCGTGTCATCTGCAAAAAGATTTACCCTGGAATGATCCAGGTCAGTGCCCACGTCATTGACATAAAGAGAGAACAAGAGGGGGCCGAGGATGAAACCCTGTGGAACCCCTTTTGTTATCTTAACACTGTTTGACCTCCAACCATCTGTGAATACAGTTTGGGTGCGAGAAAAGAGGTAATTTTTTAACCATTTATCTGTTTTTGGAAAAACCGAAGCAACTTAGTTTACTCAGCAGGGTGTTGTGGTCTACTGTATCAAAAGCTTTGGACAGGTCAAGAAAAAGACAGGCACAGTACTGCTTATTATCAAGGCTACTGTAAATTTGATTCAGAGAGTCTAATGCAGCAGATGTATAACTGTTCCACTCAGCCTAATACTTAAGTATTTATATATCCAAATTAGAGTAATTAAATTGATTATATTGATTATTTAATACATGAAATTTAGAATTACATACATTTGTGGAATATTAACACTGAGATGTTATTTAGATATGGAATGAGCACACCATTGCTGTTATCAGCCTACAAACTAAAACATGTTATAGACGTTTGGCTGATTCGGATGCTTGACTGAAGTCACACTTTGGCATAATAAAGGCAGGGTCAGTTGCCCCTCTGGGTCGGACTCGTGCGTGTCTAGGACATGCCCCTTCATAAAGTGGCATTTGTTTGCGCTGCATTTACAGAAAGAAGTGCAGATGTTTCTGGTGGTGCTGGCCCTCTTATGTGTCCCGTGGATGCTGCTCATCAAACCGTTTGTGCTCAGATTCCAGAACAAATGCATGCAGGTGAGCTCCTTGTCCTCCTCACGGCCCCATGCCCATGTTGAAAAACAACTGTATGCATGTCTGTCTTGGTGGTGTACAGCCCATGTGATCGAACAGTTGTTTCCTGATATTGTGACCAAATATGGACAGTTAATGTTAGATCTGGGCAATCCCTTCTGCAATCTATTCAATTGCTACAATTTCATACAACCGTTTTGCGAATGACCCCTGTAATATAGCATCGCAATTGATTCCATACAGGAATGGCTTGGTGTTATGTGGAGCTACATAGTAACCGGCTACTTATTCGCAGACATGTGTTGCTCCTTGTTTGGTGGAAATAAATGGATCGAAAAACCTTATGTATGTTTAGACCGCAGTTCCTTTGTGTTTCAAGTATAATCAAATCACCAAACTGCATGGGATATGTGCCTTATATTATAATATGTATATATTATTTGCACGTAAATACATTTTATTGATGGATTTCAACATTTATTTTCTCTTTTCTCAAGTAAGATTCACTGGGAATAAAATTTTAACTTCATCAATTGTGATAGTGAAGTAGTTAGCGTTCTGCCCTATTAACCCAGTGACCAGAGTTGAATGCCACTCACACCCAAAAACAGTGGTGAATATTTGAATGGGTCCAGGGCCTCCCCTACATCGCCTCAGCCTTAAATGAGTACCTGGTGCAGTGTGTAAATATCAGCAATGGGGAGACAAAGGCGGCTGGGCATGGTGATGGCCAACCCAACCCCTCGTGTACCGTACCGGCCTTCATAGGTGCTCGCTAACGGCACTTGCTCCGACAGCCTGTTAAACGCTATACAGTGGGTCTTTCTCTTTGTATATGTGTGTGATACGTGCATGCGCAAACATCACTGTTGTTTCCATTTGTTTAAAATATACTGTATAAGTAACCAGATGCATGTCACTGATCAGCTCTGGTAATTATATATCCATGCACGTCTGTCAATCGAGATCTGAGCGCATTAGACATGCCAGCAGAGCCATGCAGTTAAACGCCCTCTGTATATTGTCCAGTACTAATATTTCCAACATTTGTGCAACTCAATTTCTTAAAAAATTTATTTAAAGCTTTCGTGACTGCAGGGATTCATATTCTTGGTTCTTTCGGTAAAGTCACCACGTAGAAGGGAAACAATAAAATAATAAAAATATAAAACAATAAAATTCTCACGACGTTTCGACTGCAACACAAGCAATCATCATCAGGTGTGAAAACCACAACAAGAACATTTTGAAAAAAGTGGCGGTTTAAAAATGTTTCTTTGTATATTTATATATAAAAGAACCAGATTTATTGCAAAGGAGCTACTCTCAATCGTTTGTAATTCTTTTTGTGTAAAAATGTAAATATGTAGTCTAAGCATGGTTTGGTGGTTGTGTGCCTGTGTGGGTGCTCTGCTCCATTCAATATCTGCTGCTGGACAATTTCCCATGAGAATCAGCACAGACACGTTTGTGTAATTGTGTTTGCAATGTTAAAGAAAAAATAATTGTATTGAAGAAGCCATTTTTATATAAATTAGACTGAAATTGGTTATGATATATTGTTGGTGCCAGCATAATCCACTTTATCATTCTTTGGTATGTTCCAACATTACTTAATAAATAAAAAGTGTTTTTCCTAAAATACATTGCAGGAGGAATGTATTATTACATAGCTGTTTTACTGCGTGAAGCATGTCATATTACACAGAGATAAAATATGAAACTTGGTTCATCACAACATTGATTGTGTCCATGAGTATGATTGTTTATGTGTGTGCGTACATGCGTGTGGGGAGTGGTGGCGCAATTGTTAACCGCGCTGTGCAACGAACTAAGTGATCCAAGTTCGATTCTCGTCCATGACCAAAACCGTGGCGAATATTTGAACCAGTTCTGAGCTTCCCCTAAGTCAGCTCAGTCTTATATGAGCATCAAGTGTTGTGTTTAAACATCAGCACTGGTGTTGACCACCCACACGCTCGTGTGCACTGCCGGCTTTCCCAGGCGCTGCTCACGAACAGCAAGCACTTCCACCAACAGTCTGTTTGGGGCAATACGGGGGGATCTTTGTTGTGTGTATACATGCATCTGTGTGTTAGATAAATAGGTGCATGGTGAACAGTATAGTTTAACACGTAGGCTTTCGCGACCAATATTCATAATAACGGTTTTTGGGTTAGATCGCGTTTATTTATAAATGTGTCGTAACCCTCCACCACCCGACACGGCCAATCAGCAAAAAAGTGTCACGTTGACAAAAGACAAATAATTCACTACTTTAGCCCACCGGTGTGTTGAAGAGTGACTGTAAATGTGGATTCACTCTTCAACACACCGGTGGGCTAAAGTAGTGAATTATTTGTCTTTTGTCAACGTGACACTTTTTTGCTGATTGGCCGTGTCGGGTGGTGGAGGGTTACGACACATTTATAAATAAACGCGATCTAACCCAAAAACCGTTATTGTGAACAGTATACTTTGCATTGGCACATAGTATGACTTGTGTGTCATTAAAAAAATGTCTTGGAATGCTATTTATTTTCGGTGATTCCACGTAATATGCCACTATCATTTATACTGTATTTCTATTAAAGTATTATACATTATTAGTAGTCACACTATGTACGTGTTTAACTCAAAAATTCCGCTTCGATGTCGGGGGCACTCTTAGCAGATCCTCTAATACGCAACTCACCATGATAATTACTCCTAAAATTCACAAGTAATGTGTTGCATAAAATGTCGAATATTGAGTCATGCCCTTTTTTTCGTTGGTTCCATGTATTAATATAGACGGGGCATATGAAGATATATAGATACATATACAGGTATGTGTATCTATACAAAGACAAAAATGCCCTGTATAGCCTGAACAGATTGTTGGGGCAAGTGCTGTTAGCGAGCACCTATGAAGGCCGGCACGGCACACGAGGGGGTGGGTGGCCAACACCACGCCCGGCCACCTTTGTCTCCCCAGTGGCGATGTTTACACACTGCACCAGGTACTCATTTAAGGCTGAGGCGATGTAGGGGAGGCCCTGGACCCATTCAAATATTCACCACTGTTTTTGGGTGTGAGTGGCATGTGAGTGGCTGCACCAGGTACTCATTTGAGGCTGAGTTGACCTAGGGGAAGACCAGGACGGGTTCTATACACACGTGTTTACATACATACGCTCGTATGTATACATATAGAGGCATACACATACGATTTAGATTGGATAAGGGTCTATTCACTCTACACACTAAGATTATCGAACAGTTACTAAGAGAGATTCAGTTTGCTGATGGTTGTGCCCTCATTTCACACACACACACGAAGAAGACGTCCAGAAAATTGTGGATACCCCAAAATGCTTCGGTCTGACAATCAGCCTGAAAAAGACATAGGTTAGACAGCACCAGGTCATCATTATTCCGAGTACTGTGATCTCACCATCATTTTTGACAATACACCTTTCAACCTCGTGAGGAAATCATGCTATTCGGGTAGCATGTGACCCATCAGTGCTGTGATGGATGACGAGACCACTCATTATGTGGCAGAAGGTGGCATTTGGCAGGCTCACCCACAGGCTCTGTCGAGAGCGTGGTGTTTGCCTCTGATCCCCGCAGTTGTACTCACCTCAGTTCTCTATGGCTATGAGACATGGACACATAACTGACACCACATCAAATAGCTAGAGAGCTTTCACCTTCGCTGCCTAAAATCCATCTGCAACATTAAGTGGCTGGACAGCATCCCCAACATGGAAGTCTTTGAGAGGCGCCAAATCCCTGGCATTGAGAGCATGCTCATTAGGGCACAACTGCACTGGGCTGGACATCTTTGTACATAAATGCTTGCCCTGCTGCATTGTTATATAAGTATATAGTAGTCATATCTACATAGAGTATTATATACTGTACTGTCATCATACTCTTTGGTTCTTTCGGTAAAGTCACGAAGGTAGAAAAAATAATATATCATGACGTTTCGATCGCAACGCAAGCAATCGTCATCAGGCGGAAGAAAGAGGAGGGAAGCTGCTGATGCTGCTGCACGCTGCTTTTAAAGGTTCGAGATGGGCGTAGCCCCAGAGTCATTAACGAAGTGGGGGGAAGGGGGGGCTAGTGATGTTAAAGTGAGAAATTTGTATGTAAATGTACCGTGTAAATGTGATTGGCATGTCAATGTAAGCTCGCAGCCCGCCGTCACATCGAGGACTGCATGATCGGAGAAATTTGCATGCAAATGTACTGTGTAAACGTTACATTCACTAACACAGCCACCATCGTTTGCTCGCTCCGAAGTGGCTGTGGTTCTTTCCGAGCTTTTTCCGATCTCACGTTTACATGCAGTCCTCGATGTGACGGCGCGCTGCGAGCTTACATTGACATGCTAATCACGTTTACACGGTACATTTACATACAAATTTCTCACTTTAACATCACTAGCCCCCCCTTCCCCCCACTTCGTTTATGACTCTGGGGCTACGCCCATCTCGAACCTTTAAAAGCAGCGTGCAGCAGCATCAGCAGCTTCCCTCTTTCTTCCGCCTGATGACGATTGCTTGCGTTGCGATCGAAACGTCATGATATATTATTTTTATACCTACGTGACTTTACCGAAAGAACCAAAGAGTATGGATTCCTGCAGTCACGAAAGCTTAAAAAAATATTGTACTGTCATCTCCACACGTATCACGAGCGAGAGGAAGCTTTAGCCGCATGACTCCCCCTTGTTCATGATTAAACAAAATTGTTGAATCGCATATTCTGGGGTTTTGTTCCCTGTTGGTGACAGTGACAGCGCCGTGAGTGTTGTGATTCTGGAATTAGAGGAGCGTGGATTTGTAGAGTTTCGCCGGATTCTGCATTTACAAGATTAATCAGTTTGGCAATGGTCAGCATTACTTTCTATACATTTATAGGCAATTCAATATAAGTGTTCCCCCCCCCCCTCAAATTCCAACTTAAAAATAGCCTGACAAATAAAGGAGTTAATTGACAAATAACTGGAA